GGAGCAGAGTCAGTTGTTGATGCCACCACAGCAGCGGGAGCAGAGTCTGTTGTAGATGCTGCCATGGCAGTGGGAGCAGAGTCTGTTGTTGATGCTGCCACAGCAGYGGGAGCAGAGTCTGTTGCTGATGCTACAGCAGTGGCATTGTAACTGGTAGCACTGAAGGCAATGTCTTCGGGAGGGAGTGTATTTGCATCTGACAGTGTGATGTTTCTTTCAGATTGACATTTATCATGGAGCTCCAACAAGGAAAAAGATGTTGAGGGTCTGCCCCAGTCTTCTTGGGATGTGTTGCAGAAAGTGTCCGATGCCCTGCAGAGGGGACGAGTTAGAACAAACAGGTCCTAAAAGAGCCTTTCCAGCTCCTCCAGGGCTGCTTGCAATGGCACTGGGAACTTCCTGCCCAAAAGTAGCCTTTATGTTAAAGGAAACATGAAACCTGGACTGAAACTAGTTGGTATTCAGAACRGTCCTATGCTTGACAGATGACCGTCCACAGCACTGTGATCCTAGCTGGCTGACTCTGTTTTTGTAAGCTGCAAGAATATCATTGCCTGAGATGAGGCATCCTTTGGGACAAGGGCTGTTAACTTTAGTAAGAGCACTGGGGATTAAGGCAACTTGTCTTATAGAATCAGATTCTAATGCTACATTAGGAGGGGACTGCATAGAGAGGAATGTAACAAAGTCCCCTGGATCCTTAAGCCCTGCTAGTTCAATCCTTGGAGCTGTGCTAATACTAAACGTGCTTTTAAATAACTGAGAAGTTTGTTATTCACTCAGGCTTGGCATGTTTTCCAGAGAATTTAAATGTTAAACCCATTCTGATGAGACAACCTAATTTCAACAATCTGCTTCCCTGTTCTTTCCAGTGTATATATTGTGTCTTTCTGGTGACCTTTCAAAAAGAGGGAGGATCGTATACAAGCAAAGTATTTATTTTAACTACATGCTTGCAATTATTTGCAGAAATACTGGAAAGCAAAGAAAAAGAAATGGCAAGAAATGGTACTCTTTCCAAGGGGATTTGTTGGCTGCTTGTACTGATCTAGGCTTTGGGAATGAGAAACAGCAAGGAAGAAATAACTTTAAATGCTAAAGTGCTCACGGTGTTACAGTTCCTGCTCCCATGCTGGCCACCTAGGCCACCCAGCAAGCTGGTGTTTTATCTTCACCTAATAGAGAAATATGAACTGAAAGGGAGAGAAAATGGACTGTTTTCACTTCAGGTAGAATCCATAGCCAATAACACTTCTGAATGTTCCACATATGCCCATGATATTTGTCCATTTTGGGTATAATTTAGCCATGCTTTGTCCCTGAAGGGTTCTCTATTTTGCATTTCTGCCTTTTGTGGAAGGGGAGACCAAGTGAAAAATCTGAACAATCTGGCAGTGATTGTTTGTCCTCAAATAACTTGCAGCAGTAAGTTGTGGCTAACATCTTGCATCGCCTTCAACATTACTTACATCTCCTTGAAATCACTTACTTTTGCAGCACAACTTCCTCGCGCTTGGAGAGCAGCCAGGAGAGCCCACAGTCGCATGACAGCGGATTTCCATGTAGGTTGATGATGATGCTGTCTGATGAATTGATATTCCAAGAACTGAAGGAAGTCAGGTTGCAGCTGCAAAATGGCAAATACAATAATTGGTCAGTGCTGGCCTGACTTCCGGGGCCTGGAGTGTGCTTAGTATCCCTGTACATGTATGACACAGTGCAATGTTCCCTTTGGCAATAGCAGGTTAGCAACATCACTGTGCTGTGTTTTAAGTCCAGCTTAATTCCTGCATATCTCATCAATCTGCCCAGCATGGCTGCTATATGGTAAAGTGTGACAAGGACGTGGTTTGTAAGTGGAGAACCCCTCTAGGGACAGCAGCTGCAAGGGGAAAGGGGTCCTGTGAGAGAGGGCTCCTCCTGGGCACCATGCATTCAGTCCCACCATGCCGTGTCCCTCGCACCTTTCCTCTAGCTTCTCTCTCCCCCTGCTTCCAATGGCTTGACCTTCTCTATGCCACTCACTCTCCTTAGTTAATTGATTTGCTCATTAGCTGCTAAAGTCAAATGACTAAAATAGGAGGATCTCACTTGCCTGCGCTCAGGCAGCATTGTTCTGAGAGCTGCAATGGCAGCTTTTCACGGGGGTGAGCAAAAAAAGAGAAGAACTCACTTCTGGAATGAGAGATGCTTTAGATGAGGAGTGTTTTCGAATATCTCTGTCTTCACGAACCCCAGTGAGTGGGAGTCCTGACAGTTCAGCTCTCTGAGATGACTCATGGACTTGATAAAATCAGTATCGAGGCTCCTTAATCGTGACATCTTTGTCAGGTGAAGTGATCTGAGGTTGAGCAAGTCTCTGGCCCATTCTGGTTCAACTGAAGAAAAAAAGAGGTTTTTAACTGTTCCATAAACAGGCCACTGCTGTGGATTTCTGCCTAGAAATAAGTAGACTGAACTGTATCGGTCCACTGACAAATATTACCAAGATACTGCAAAGTAGCACACGCAAAAATGGAGCCCCCTTCTTGCATCATATGCTGAATTTATTAGTAACTTATGGGATCTGTCAGATAAAGTTTTAAATTTATAGAGATGTAAAATATCTGTGCTCTCCAGTAGCTATTCTCTGTGGTAAAGAAATAGAGCAAAATGTACAATAACAATATGGSAGCATATATCCCTGGGGAATCACAGTCTTGTTATATTACCTGCAGGCCTGGTCATGCCAACTTAGAGAAGGCAGAAGAAAGGAGGGAAAGATAGAGAGATCAATAAAACTAGTTATAGATAAGGAACATCTTTCCTAGAACTTAAGATTAAGTGAATGAGGATTTCTCCACTCTGAAAAGATGGATGAGGCGAGATTAGAGAGGACTGCAAAGTTCTCAATGGTGTGAGAAAGACAGATAGTTTCCTATTTCTCCTAAAACAGGAAGAAGAGGGTGAGGGACATGAAACCACGAAGAACAGGCCTTATACAATAGCACCTTTTCATGCCATGACTAAGTTGTGAAACTCACTGTCACAAGATGGATTAGACAAATTCATGGGAAACAATTGCAGTATCTCTGTTATGAGAGCAGAGGTGAAACCTCTAGGTCGGAAGTCCGTAAGCTGTTAGTTACTGGAATGAAGGAACATGCATGTGGGAAAAATCTGTGTTTTTTCTGTCTTGTACCTTCTCCCTGAAGCGCCACTGCTAGGTGCTCTTGCAAAAAGGACCCTGCAGCAGGGGGATCTCTGCTCTGACCCAGCCTGATGGTTCTTGTGCCAATGCCAAGAATTAACCATCAATGAAACCCTCTGGGTCCTTTGAAACCTGCTGTTTATGAATAAAACTGGCAAGAAATGTGGCAGAGAAACAGATGAGGTGGCCTTTCAGGTAAGGTGTCCAGGAAGGATTTTCCCCTGGCTGAGATGGCAGTGCGGGAGGTGGGCGAACGGGCAGCRAGTGTTGGTTCTGCCCGAGGCCCAGAGCAGTAGGCAAGAAATTTGGCATCTCTCTGCCTTAGCATCCCAAGTTATAAACAGAGGCCCACAGTGGAGAGAAATGAGCAGGAGATTTGTGCCTTACATGGCCCAGGGCAGGGCTGGGATGGGTGATGTTGCTGTGTGGAAGTCTTTGGCCTGTTGCGCTTAAGGAAAAAAAAACCTCCCTGCCCCATTTTGCTACCTAAAGCAGGGTGTACCTGTGGGGATGGAAAAAGAAGGATTTCAGCAGTGTTCCTGAACAGAGCCATTAATTCCCTCGAGGGCTTCCCAAAAACTAGTCTCAAGGCTGTCAACTGGACAGCAGCAGCCAGTAGACTGAGGATGGAGGTGGGGGCAATGATGGGGTGAATGTGCGGCCCTGCTTGGGTGCTGCTGGCCCTCTGCCCTTCCWGTGTGAGGGCTTCTCCCCGCTGTTGCATGACTTGCTGGAGAGCGTTGAGCGCTTGGAGCAGAAGCAGCAGCAGAGGCTGCCCCTGTCCCAACTGGTGCCTGTCTGTGGGGCAGGGAGCACTAGCTGAGAGCACAGCAGGTGTCCCAGGGCTCAGCCTGGGTTAGAGCCTTCGTCCCGGCAAGGCCTCTGCCCGCCCCCCAGCCTAAGCAGGGCCGGGCTTGCACAGGGAAAGCTGCAGACTTACTTTTCTCAAGAAAGGTCCCGCTCAGATCAAGCACATTGATGATGTTTTCAGGCCTGGTCCCGGCCTCTTGGGGAGAGGTGCTGATGGCAAAAGCAGACTCCYTAATTCCTTTGCTGTCATCCTGCCCAAGAAGAGTTGCAGAGAGGTTCAGGAATTGCAGCCGAGGGAAACAGGAAAAAGCCAGTGGTTGAATTTCCATCAGTGGATTTCCAGCCAGGGACAACCATCTCAGGTTAGGCAGGGAGGAGCTGTGGCAGGACGGCACAGCTGACAGCTTATTAAAGCTTAAGTCCAGGGAATGGAGACTGCTGAGGGCTTCAGACCCCCATCTCACTGCTTGGAGATGGTTCTGCTTCAGCAAGAGGGTGCGCAGCTGTGGCAGGCTTGCGATCTCCGTGCCGTTCAGTTCTGCTAAGAGATTGTKGCTGAAATCCAAGGTCTCCAGGAGCTCTGGTAGGCAGGCGGGGAAGGCTGCCAGGCTGCTGCTTGTCAGCTGCAGTGTGATCCAGCTGCTGTTCTTCCGATCCTCGCAGGACATGCCAGTGAGGTTAACGTCCTGCCAGGAGTCTTCCTGAGCCAGCTGGAAAACAGTGGTGACGTCCCTGGATGCTGCAGTCTCTGCTCGGCTCACTGGGCCTGGCACTACGGTCYCCACCAGCAGAGAGAGGATGAGCAAGAGGAGGAACATCCTGCTGCTCTCAGTTAACCTGCGAGATCTGTTTGGTTGTTGTTTCAGGAAGGGAAAAAGAAAACATCAGCATTAAGAGTCAAATTAAATCCCCAGGCAGCTACAAGCTATTTAAAAGTAAAACATTTATAAGTGCTTTCCTGGTGCATCCAGACAGTGGAAGTGATAATTAACATCTCTTCTGTAATTAAGCCTAAGTAAACATATGCCCTTTGGGGCGATCTTATTTTAAGTGTATGTGTAAGTTTTGGTCCAGAAAGTGACCAGATTATRTCACAAATCTGCAGGCACCAGTGTGGCACCTAGAGCAGCCCTGCCWAGGAGCAGCGGCACCGGAGGGGAGCTCTTTGTCCCACTGTCTGTGCCACCCCTGTACTGCATGGGGTACTAGGCAAACTGGGGCGGGGGGATAATGATACTTTAGCACTATTGGGTTTTGTGTTTATAACTGATTGTGAATTTGCTCTCTGCATGGCTGTCCTGCTGCACAGTATCCAGTTTGTCTGTGTCCCTGAGATGACCTGTCCAATGGGGAGGGCGAGTCAGRTGTGCTCAGGGCAAGGATTTTTTTTCCATAAGGCTGCCTGTGCAATGCAAATGTGTGGATTTAGAGGCAGGGGAACGTTATCAAACATGAAAGTAAAGGATGCAGCAGCTCAAATTTTGGCTGGATTGCAGTGGGGCGGGCAGGTAAGAGAGAACGCTTTTCCTGTGTTAGGAAGGGCTTCCCTTCCTCCCGCTGGCAGAAGCCCAGTGCAAGCCCCGGCGTGTGTGGCCCTGCCGGGGCAGCCCTGCATGGCGGGGCTGGCGGGCACCGCAGTGAGCGGCTGGCAGGGTGTGCGGCCGAGTCGCTGCCCGCCTGGTGCAGCCCCTGCGCCCCTCCGAGCCCCCATCCCCTCCTGAGTCATGGGCTCTGCTGCAGGYGACAGCCTCAGGCGTGATAGGCATGCGAATTCCAGGGAAACAAGGTATTTAGGATACCTATTGATCCAAGTGGTCAGTGGAGAGCGCGCTCCCGGATTAGGGCCAAAGGTCTGGTACCAAGAGCAGGTTAGTGCTACAGAATCCCTCTGTGCTCCTTCCTTCTCCCGCCCCAGCTCTGTCTGTGCAACGTTGCTGCCCCCAAAGTGCTTGTCCAGGCTCCTCTGTGAGGTGGGTAAGGAGCCTTAGTTGTTATTTTCCACCTGTGTCAATTCCCCTAGTGCTGGCCAAGGAGGACATTTATCCCCTACCTTCTCTAGGAGAGACAAAAAGAGAGACAGTTTTTATATTATATTATTAGATTTGTATTAAATGGCTTCAAAAGCATGAGGAAACTTATAGCTAAGTTTTAAAAATATTTGAGTTACTAAAGATATAAATAACTGTTTTTGAAAAATCCCAAAGACTCCAGAGAGAAACCTATGTGAATTCCTCTGGGATTTTTTAAAAAGCCTGAAGACCTGTTAACTAAAATAATAATAATAATAATAATAAATACACTAAATGATTTGTCCAGGGCAGGATTTGTGCAGATAATCTATGTCAGAGGAGGGAATTATTGCAGGTGTGCTAAGCTCAAAGCTAGTGCTTTCCCTGCTGAGCTCTCTTTCCTGCTGTTAAGGCATTATAATGCTCATTTCTCATCCAAAAATGTGTATCCGAGTCGGGGGGTAATTGAAACTTCATGCTGCACAAGGGTCTCAGACTTGTTCCTCACCGTACCTGGCTCTCTATGATGCTCCTAACTACCTGCTTTTGCCTGCCTGGTGCCAGGTGTTGCCTAGACCATTCCCTGCAGCTCCCACCCAMGGTCTGAGGCAGAATGGCCTCTTTTGGTGGCCCGTGACCTTTCCATGGGATGGAGCCGCACAGGAGCGGGGCAGCCCCACGTCTCCCCGCTGCAGAGCCCCTTCCAGCATCCAGCGCACGTGGCAGTGAGCGGCGGGAAGGCGTGCGGCTGCCGGCAGCTCAGCTTAGACTCAGTCTTAGCCCCCTGCTCGAACCCGCATCCGCTTGCACGTACCTGCCCGCAGCGGCGGTGCCTCGTGCCTGCCCTCTGTGGCTCCGAGCGCCTGCCCCTGGCTTTATGCACCTCGGTGACTCAGCCAAGGAACGTGAAGTGTCTCTGCTCGGTTCCCGGCTCTCCCTGCTCGCGGCTCTGCCCACAAGCGGAGGCGAGGTTTGTTCCAGGCCCGCTCCCCCGCACGCAGCTTCCCCCTGCCCGAGGGGGGCTCCAGGCAGCTTTCTGTGCTCCCRAAGCGAGGAGGTGGGAGGGCTCCTGCTTCCCAGTGCTCGCTCCCCAGGCAGGACTGATCCTTCCTCCACGGCCGAGGTGAGGGGTAAAGGGAAGGGTCAGCGTCTCTCATCCCAACTCTCACGTCTTCCTTGGGYGAGGGGGGAGGAAGGGGAGATTGTGGAATTATTGTGTTTCTTCACTGACAGGTCACGAGGATGCAGAGCTAAGGCTCTCTCTGCTGACATGGGCTTTGATAACTCTCTAGACGCCAATAAAAGGTTGTCTTCAAGTGTTTGCATTTCTCTAACAGTCTCTGTCCCGGGAATGCTCACCCGGGCCAGGGGCTCTTAGCAGACCCGTCCCTCCAAGGAGGCTCTCGGGAAGCGGCAGAAGCAAAGCTCTCACTGGCACCCCCACACACAGGGCTTTTCTTGGCTGATCGCATGTCCCAGGGCACCCAAGGGACTCCCGCTCACCCGGGAGTGCCTGTGTGAGATGGATTCTCGGCTCTGCATCTGCCCTTCGGAGCCATTTGGGACCTTTCCCTTCCTGTTCCTTCTCACACCTGCAGCTGGCTCAGTGAGAGTGACAAGGGAAAATGCCTCACACCGAGGGACGTGCCGCAGCTCGGTCTCCGGGCGTTACTGCAATGCGAGCAATGAACACACAGGTCAAAAGCTGTGAGGAGAGCCCGGGAGGGGAAAGGTCTATCCCAAGGGGGAAGCCATAGCAGGGATGTGCAGTTAAGGCAATGAATTATTAGAGATTCCAGGGAGAACATTATTTGATGCTTTTTTTTTAATTTATCAGGAGGACAAAACACATCTATGTCAGGAAGGCAAAACAGACCTGTATAGTGGGGTGATAAAGTGCAGATAAAAGTCCTGCTTTCCTAAAAACCTTGAGACTAGATGTACGCTGACCTTATCTACTGACCGTGTCATTCGCTATCTGTTTGGGGAAGGAGCCTTGAAAAACACCAGAACACCCACAGAACAAGATACAGTCCTTTAGCAGGACTCTGTGGAGCCGTGGCGGCTCCCCCCGAGGCTGGCCGGGCCGTACAAGCTGTTCCCTTGTGGAACGGCTCGCGGCGAGACAAAGGGTGCCCTCGCTGAGGGCCTCATCCTGCAGATGCGCACTGGTGGAGCGGCGCGCGGGCGGCCCGACGGGAGGCTTCCCAGAGCTGCACTCTCAGGGCCGCGTTCACTGGGCAAAGCTGAGCACGTTAAGAACTTGGAAGAACTTCCGCAAGCGCGGAAGGAAGGAAAGTGTAGCCCAGGGCACACTGGTGGAAACCCTGCCTTCCTGTGGCCTTTGAAGGCCTGCAGATCCCTTCTGGGGAGGAGAGCTCACTCTGCCTCGGGCTATGAAGTACCTGTGTTGTGTTTGCTGCTGTTTGCTCGGTATTTTCATGCAGTGATTTTTTTAAATGAGAAAGTAGACTGGTTGTTTATGGTCTCTAATCTTAAAAATCTGCTGCATGAGACTTGATGCCGTGCTCTGCCTTGCTCTCGCGTGTGCCTCGCGTTCCTTGTGAGGTTCTCCCAAGCCATGTGAGGACCAGGAAAGCTGCCRTCAGTCAGCACTTGGCCCATCCATTTCAGCGAAGAGGGAAGTGACTTTTCCCAGAGGAGCTCTATTCTGAAGGAAAGAGAGAACATCTTTTTAGAAGTAGAGSGCTTTTGAAAAATGAGTCTCTGTTGTATTTATTTCCTCCTTTTTTTCCTCATTTTGAGGCAGGCTTGAACTTTTGCTGGGTTGCAGTATGGCTCTTTGTCTAGCTGCAAGCCCTGACAGTTGAAATAGTACCAGGGTCAGGCTGGTGCCTCTTCCACACCAGATTCACAGGGCTGCTGGTGAAGGCTTCCCCAAGCAGCACCAGCTGCCTCCCACCGAGCTTGTTGCAGTCACATCAGGCTCGGGTAGGAGCAGGAGACAGTCCCCTTGTGCAGTGCCTGGCCCGGTCTCGTGTCGCTGTGTTTGTTCACATTATTATTCTGCTGCTTCTACTTCTCTAAGGGTTTCAGTGTCAGCCTGTGGGAAGATTTAGTAAAGGGCAGGTGATTTTGTCAGCCTTTTTCTGCACGGGTGGTGTATTTAGCACAAGAGCTAAACCAGATGCCTCCTTCCCAGAGCTGGTTCAGCGCTGCACAAAACCCCTCCTGCCGCAGGAGCTGGAATGCTAGGGATGAGCCCTGCATTCCTTCATGACACCAAGATAACAGAAACACGGGGAGAGTAGAGGGTGAGCATGGTACCAGGCTGTAAAGTTTGAGAGATGAGTGTTTCTTGTTGGCTGTGATCCATGTCTAGTCATGGCTAAGAGAGAAAACATCCTGAAAAAGCTGGAGAACAGCTTTAAAGCGAATGAAAGGAAAAAAAGGTTCACAGGTCACTCCCCAGAGCAAGTASAAGCAAGACATTTCCCTGCAGTGAACAAGGAGGCAAGGAGAGAATGCAAGAACAGGATTATTTAGCCTGGGGTTTCAGGCGGCGACAGTGTACGTGCGTGTGCGCGCGCGTGCGCCTGCTGCCACAATGCACTGGGAGCAGGCAGCGAAACCCCATGGAATTGGTTGGGAGTAGGAGCAGGCAGCAGCCCTCTGACACTCAGAATGTTTTACCCTGACTTGATTTTGCTTTAATTAAGAGCAACACACAAAATATGGTGCTAAGATACCAGTATCATGAAGATTTTTGTTTTCATCTGCACTGCGTTTCCGTCTAGGATTCTGTCTCTGCACTTGGAAAATGCCTCTCCCCTTTGAAGCCACTGTTTTGTTTAAGGGCAGATACCCTGCGTTCTCTTGCTCTTTAAAGTGTCTGTCCCTCATCTGGCCCTGTGCAGGTAATATCAGACTTCCTGAAGACCACTGAGCCTGTCATCTTTCCCCTTATTCCTCACTCAGGTAGTACGAGCAAGTAAAAACCACATTTAATGGGGTAGTTACAGGAATACAGGAGGGTGTGGTGGCCTGTGCAGGGATAGGGGAAGGCCTGGAGCCTGGCCAGGATGTGCTGGGTGCTGTGGTGGGGATGATAGATGGCTGAGTGCTGGAGTGGGGCTGCCACGAGTGCCAGGCCCAGCAGGCTGGGACAGGCCTCCCTGCRGTGGGAGCTGCCAACTGCACCCAGCAGATGCTGCAGCAGCCTGGAGCTGCGGGGAGCAGCAGCACCCTGGCTGGTGCCTTCCTCCTCCAGCGTCGGCAGGGGCTGTATGAGAAACTGAACTTAGGCCACTGCCCCCAAGGGTAGTAAAGCTGGGGACATGTGCCCAGTGCCCTTGAATTGCTGGGTCTGGCTGTGCAGGRTGACATTGTCCTGACCCTAGCCCAGAAAGTCTGACGTCTTCCAAGTAGCACCTCTCAGTTCCTTTCACTGCTGCATCATTTTCCTTGGGATGAAAGCGGGACCTCACACAGCATCAGAGGTGGGTGGATAAAGAGATGCCCTTCCGTAGTGCTCCCTATCTCGAAAGCCTTGCAAGGTGAGAGGAGCACAGAGGAAAATATTTCATGATGTAAAGAGAAGTGCACCAAGAAGAGTGATAAGGGATCGTTCCATCAATGGTAAGATGGTCAGAGTCAATGCTCTGTGAAAGAGTTGGCAGAGCTCCTCCTTCCATAGCAGCAGGGAACCTAGACTTGAAAGGCGGTGACGCATTAGGATGAGGTGGAAGGAGGGCCAGGAAGTCAGGGTGTTTTTGTGCTTTCTCAGGAACCCCTGCCCACCTCTGCAAGGAGGTGTTTGCTTAGCACCAAAAGGAGCCGCACACTGTGTCAGCGAGACAGACATTCACAGTTCCCACATATCTGCACCCCTGTATTCAGATTGTTTGGACTGTAAAAAGTGTTGAGGAGGGAAGTATAGTGGGTCAGCAAGCAGCTTATAGCTGCTCTTCTTTTTCTCTTTGTAAAATACGAAACTACAGTTTATTTAAATGGGCATAGGTTGAGAGTGATCCAGAGTTTACTGCCAGGTACTGCAGTAAAAGCAGAGGGTGTGACAGAAGGATCCAAATGACATCTAGGAATTATGCAGTGATACCTACAGCGTCTCTTGGCAATGTGACAACACCTGCCCTGTTTATTTGCCTATATATGTGGAATCTGTTCTGGTTTATCCAGGACTGTAACAAACCCGCCCAACTTTGTTCCCTCCTGTGCTTTCCTGWTGGCTGCACATTATGAGGCAGAACCGAAGCACACTCAGCTTGGCGGGTGTGAGTGGCCCCTCAGACACAGCTCCCTGCTACAAATCTGGCTCTGCAGGCACAGTGTTCCAGAGTTACTGCTTTGCATTCCGTGTTGCAAACGTGACAAACGGCATTTCTACAGGTATAGCCGCTCAATTCAATTTATTAACGAGTTAGATTTAGATGACAGCAAAACAGAGTAACAAGGACAGAAAATAGGAGGAAGGGCTATACGTGCTACAGGTGTCCCTGCTGGAGTGTGGGGGTGTTGGTCTGGATGATCTCTAGAGGTCCCTTCTAACCTCAACCACTCTGTGATTCTGTCCAACTACAGAGTCTTAGAACTCTAATAAGCAAATAATTTAATATAGCAAATATTCCTCTAGGGCTGGAAGTTAACATAGTACTTTAAGAGATGAACATTTCCACTGGTTTTGTGAAGAATGATGTTTCCCTCTACATGCCTGGCAGCCTGTTGAAGGTGTGTTACAGGTCTGAATGATCATGTAATCACTACCTGGGATTTGAAAGCTCTCTCTGCAGGACTTTGGAGCACTGATGAATTGTTTTCTGTTCCCAGCACAAATGTTAGACAAGTAAYATAGCTTTAAAAAAAAGTATTTATTTAGCTTTAGTTCTGCTTCATCCTGAGACATGTTAGCTGATGCGATTTGCAGGGCTGTAACAGAGGACAAAATCTGTATGTCCTTAGGTTCCGCGTTCTAGATACAAAAGCAAATTGTTACTATTAAAAATGCCAGCCTCGGAATTGCCGGAGGCTGCTACTTTTCTTTTGAAAAGTTGTAGCTGTACAAAAGGAAAATAAAAGGAGTCAAATTGCCCCAGTTTTGATGATGGAATTGCCATACTCCATCCAGTGACCTTGGCTTCAATACTTAACAAACAAGCTGGTGCTAGTTCAGTCATGTTGCAGGACTGYAGCATACAGTATATTTACTAGCCAGCAATTAACCATCAGTCTTGTTTAATCTCTGATCCTTTTAGCTGGGGGAAAGAGGAAGGGCTCGTTTCCCCTCATTCCTGACCTCCAGTTAATTTATGGAACAGATCTTCATCCAGTGCTTCGTTTTGGTCTTTGGAGCGGGTTGACAGGAAGATGTAGCCCCCAATATACTCATGGATAATTTTGCAGTCTGCACTCCGGCATGTGAAAGCAATAGACACGTTCTGATCAAACTCAATGGCRACCTAAAGAAAATACACATGGCCAAATCAGTAACAGAGATAAATGAAAAATCTTCTTACCTGACAGGAATCTGAGAAAAAGAGTGGGAGAGCAGCTAGACCATAACTACTGCAAGAAGCCAGGACTAGTTCTGCTAACACAAGAGCTGTAAAGATCTGGGGGTCTGTAGTATGCTGGGAGTCTTTGGCTGGTTGGTTCTCYACTTCCTGCTGTGGCAGGGCCCCCATATGGCCAACATCTTGCTGCTTGTTTTGGAAGCTCGCAAGACAAAGCTTTTTACCATTTTTTTCCTAGTGGTATCTATGGAGTCCTTGTAAACACACTGAAAACAAGAATGGCACTCGTGATTCCTTGTACACTTACCCAATAGTGTTTAATACCATTCCTTGTTGTGCACTGACATTAAATCTGCTTTTGGGGCTTAGTTTTAAATTTTATTATTGTCAGTTCTAAAATCCAGCAATCAGGGGCTAGCTGATACTTGTGGATTCTGCCTTTTTGGACACCGATTTAATACAAAAACAAGAGCTTTACCAACACATTGCACGCACAGAGCAATACGAGTTTGAGGACACTATGGGTTTTATCTGCTCTCTCCTGCCTCCTGGAGATGGATGTACGAATTGTATAAGGAACAATCTCCAGGCTGCTTGAATTTATGTCAGGTCACACTAGGTGACTAGACTTGCAAAAGCAGCTTCAAACTTTCAWACTCAGACTGAGCGACACTTAGCTTCACTGCGTAAACTTATCCAAGACCAGCAGCACCAGGATATAAATCACACTTTGGAGCTCTTCTCTTAGGATCTCAAATTGAAATAGAGGAACTTGCACCACAGCCTTGTAGTCTCTGCTGGCATTTACATGGCAAGCCGGGCTCCTGTAGCCTCACCCGTGCTAGCACCATTACAGTTTAGAGGATGATACACAGGTTAGGCTGTGCAGAAAACAAAATGCAATTTTTACTAATGGAGCAGGAAATGTACACTGGAGTGGAATTTACCTTCAAGTCTGTGTATTTCATCCCATGAAAATCAGGGGAAAGTTATTAAAAATAAACCTGATAGATACATTTTAAATTGGAGATCTTTTAGTTTTTGAACTTTGACTATAAATTCCATTAAAACAAAATTAGCCAGMAGATTATTTAATAATATGTCATAACACATTCCCAATCCTTTCACTCTGAGGCTTAGGAACATTCTATGAAAGCATCCTGCAGTGTCTCAGATGTAATGGCTGAGTGCAGAGAGCCACTGCAGTGTTACCTGGCGTATTTCCCAGTTCACATTCCACTGCTTCATGTTGGAGAACCTCCATGTTGTGATAGGGTCTCCYGTGGCGGCATCTATCCGTATGAGCCTGTTATAGGACACTCCGAGCAGGTCATCCTTCTTGCTTCCTTTAAACCTGAAAAAAATGATCCCAAAGCCTCTGAAAATATTAAGTTCGCAGTGTTTTTTTTTTCTACAGAAACACTTCACCTGCTCTTCTATGCAAACGCAAAAATGCAGAAGACTGAGGTAGTCAAAGTAATATGAAGATGCTTCCTTGTCACCCAGTAACAACAGCCTGGGGTTGAGGAGAGCTTGGATCTTTCTTCAGGACAATATGCATTTAAAGGTAAGAATACAGCCTGGTAAACTATGGCAGATCATACAAAAAAGCAGCAGGTAGATCTAGCTGAAATCACTGCAAGTCATTGTTTTCTGTTGAAAAACCTATTTCTGTCAAAGTGGGAATATTTTGTGCTAATGCAAAGATTTGATTATATAGAGGTGAAAAATAAATACCAAAGTATCAGACCTTTTTGTGGACAGAACTTTCTGAGTCGGAAGTACTTAGCAAAAGATCTCTCAAAATGAATCTACCTTCCTCTACCTTCAAGTGGAAAGCTATAAAAAAATCTCATCTGGTTACTGCTGATAATATTTATTATTTTGATCCCAGTTTTGAACCTTCTGTCCTTAAGTGAAGCTGGCCAAAGGGAGAGAATGTGACCTGGATGGCAATCTGTGAACTCCCCTGACATTCTGCCCATGTTTGTAAAATTCACTGCAACGTGTTTTGCACATGCTACAACAATCACAGCACTGCAGTTAAGATTTTTTTTCTGAACTGCTGCTGACAGATGGGACAAAATAGCTGTATCTGTTAGTAAATTAAATCATGCCAGGGAACGTTCCTGGGCATTGAACAGAATTGCCTGTTCTGTTAAATTGCTAAAATAATCCTGGGTGCAGTTCTGGCCCCAAGTGAGCTGTGCTCTCCCAACTGACTCCTGGTACAGCTCAGGAGCGGGGACACGCGGAGCCCAAGGCGAGCTGCTGGCTTGCACGAAGCTGCTGGCTTTGGGGGAGAGTTCGACGGTACGAACGGGGCTGCCCTGCGCCCTATCACCACAGACTGGTTCCCAGCTGCTTCAATTTACACCACAGAGGCAGCCACTGATTTCCAAGTTGCCCCTAAAGAGAAGTTGAGCACAAGTTAAGGAACAGCCACACCTGGGGCTCCTATCAGAACCTGTCGAGTTTTTGGAYGTTTTGTCACTGTGGGCTGGACACCCTGTAGAATTGTGCTGTATTCTAGGTAGCGATGGGGGAAGCTGTTACAAACAAAGCAGACTAGTCTTCCAGATTAGCCTAACTGAGGGATTGTGCTTGCTGCTTAGCTCTTTTATTTCTTAATGAAATTCCAAAACAAATATGCTCAGCTTGAAGCGTTGACTCTAATTCCAATAAGCAAGAATTGGAGTGGACTGCACTGTAAACCTGAGAACATCCACAGGATTTGCATCCTACATTTTGGTGAGTTTATGTCAATAAGGATTTAATTCTACCAATATGTTACTTCAGTCAAAACCCAAAAGGCCTGTATGAATTCAGGCACAACAGATGGTCTTGCTTCAGGAATGGAGCTACTGAGTGCTACTTCTGTGGAAAAAACAGCATCATGCAAGTTATTAGAAATAACAGTCTTTGGGAAATAGTAGGAGTATGTTCCCAGAACTGGGATTCAAGGAACTTCCTGAAAATCACTGACCATGAACACGCTATGGCAGCTGGATGTTGCTGTAACAGTGTCATTACCTTACAACGTAGTAGGATAAGCCAAACTCGGGGAGGGACTGCCATGTTTGAATGAAACGCAGCTTGGCCTCCACAAGGGACATCTGGGCTACGTTTTGGTGAGCTTCCATAATACGAGCGGCCAACTGGGAAATACAGAAAGAGAGAAAGATTTCAGTGGACTGGAGACTAAAACAATTCTTGCTTTCACTAAGTCAAACAGTATTACTCTGATGCCATGTTCAGATACTTAGTGCTCACTGTTCAAGCGAACATTTCTGGAGATCACGTGGGGACAGATCCTGAGCTAACAGGGAGACTGCAGCAGGAAGGTTCCGGTACCTGATTTTGAGCTGCACTGGGTCCTGCTCCAGGATATTGTAAACTGATCTTGCCCTGTTTGCTGCCCACAGGCCCTGTGCATGCTGGGAAATGAGGATTCTCCAGCCATTCCCTGCCTCTGGCTGCATCAGTGCCACTAGGCCCCAAACTGGAGGTGGTGTCCTCAGGCAAAGCTTCCCTTGCCATGCCCATGCATGGGGTTTCCTGGATGCTGCCATGCCCAACTGCTGCAGACTGGCTAGGGGTACCAGTCAAATCTGGCCCTCCATTCAGCTGGCCAAAGCAGTAGCAGAACTTCCTAATGGCACGTTCAGTGCTAGGAGTGCTCCGATCTCAGCTGTCCTGGAGCAACAGTTTGTTCACATGCAGAATCYATGTTGCTCCAGGCCACGTCTTTTTTTTAACTGACATGGGTTTGGTTCTAATCTTGTATTTGCCTCCTGAYGCAGCGGCCTCTTCTGTGCTTGTTCTGGGTTGTGTCTGTCTGTTGCAGCTGACCGGCTGTGCCCCTGGTGAACAACCCTGCTGGAATGTTAAATACGCTGTGAGGAGCAGTTGGAGCACCAGGGGGATGGACTTTCGGCAGCCTCTGGGTGGGCAGGGCACGTTTGCGTGTGCAGGGGGAGGAAGCTCGCGGGCCCGTCGTTACTCATTCACACGTCTTACAAGCTCGAGGCACCGTGCGCTAGCTAGACACAAACCTGCTCATGGTAACGGAGGTGCCCGTTGCTAAATAACTACGTTATCTGCTGCAGCATTTATCTACCTGGAAAGCAGCCTGTGAGTCTGCAGCAGTGACTTAGTATGAATGTAGGAGGAGCACTTGGACAAGCACAGAAAGACCGGGCACTGTTCAGTTTAAAGAAAAGGCCCCCTGCTAAATATCGAATGGGCAGGTGTATTGCAAGATGATTGCGGGAATCCTTGTGTGGTTTCCAAATGCTGCCTTGTCCCTACTCCATCATCTGCCTGGTCTCTGGAATCACCCTTCCCCGACCGTAACAGCCGTACGCTGACTGAGGTTACCTGCTTGGGCTTGTATTTTTTTATATAACGTAGTGAGACGAAGCATTCTGGTTTCATGTCYATGCCTTCTGGCTCGGAGACAGCCTGAGAGGACACAGTCCAGTTCTTCAGCTTCAAAAAGGAAAGGATCTTGTGGACCTCGGGATGGTAAGAGCTATCAGCCATTGTTTTGCCCTTTGAAGCTAAGATGCAAGCGGCCATCCACTGGGCATACTGATTCTCCTGCAACAAATACATTTCTTGATATAAATGTTTGGTGTTTTAGAAGGAACCATTTATGAAGATGATTACTGTTCAAACATCTCGCACACTGAGATAAAACAATTTTGGGGTTGTTCTGCTTAGTATGGGTGGATGCATAGGTAATATAGCATCCACCCAAATCCTTACTTACTCTCCCCTGATGGGGCAAGTTCCATGTACAGGATTAGCTTTGTGGAATAGTTAGGTTTTAGAGTTTTGAAGACACTTGCCTTGAAAATGCTTTCATGTTCATAAAAATCAGATGCTTAGTTATAAATTGCCAAAGAAACGTTATGGTGGGACTGTCTTTGAACTAATTGCAGAACTGGGATTGATGTAAAAATCTTGAAACAWATTTAAGGTCCCTATTATACTACCTTTGTCTCAAGGGAAAGTTCCACTTAAGAGAAACAAAGAGAACAATAARCAAATCTCAACCCTCTGAAAAAGAATTTAAAATATTTTGTTGATTCCCACCCTCTCCCCTAATTTTTTTATTTCTTTCAACAGCTCTATTTGGGAACTGATTAACTTTGAATTATTGCTGCTTTACCCCCTTATCCATTAAGTATTTGTTAGTTTACCACATGTTGCTTATATTCTACTAGATATGTAGATTATAAAGTCTTTGGGGCACCCTTATTTTTRTGAACAATTTCTAGAACAGTAGGATAATGGATTTCCTAGACAATCTATTAATAAATGTGGAACACAGACTTTCCATTCTGTCTTATTACTCACGTTATCACATCTTAAATATACTTCATTCATGCCATCAGCAACGGGAATTAGTAATTTGATTCCAAACTTCTTCCCTGCAACATTTACGTCTGGTACAACTTCACATCCTAGATTATGGAGAATCACAAAGAAAAGGATTTATTTAATTATAATGTCACTAATTTTAAGTAGTAGTATAATGATAAGGAACGGTAATTATTGATTGTTTTGCTTTGAGCTCGAGGGCCAAGACTTTCAAAGACTGGGCCTAAACTAAGCGCTTTTTTTCTCCTAGAACACTGCCTGAGCTAGCCTGCTGGGGTGATGAATGCTTTGAGAGGAATGCTCTGAGCTGGAAGAACATGTCATTCAGAGTGGAATACAAAGGGGTGAGGGATGCAAATGCTCTCAAATCCTCTGCTTAATCTTGGGAAATGCTTAGTGGTTGAAATGGACAGGAGGTGATGAGATTGGTCCTTCTGGATTTTTTTTCTACTTGAAAGTCTGGACTYTATTCTCAGAAGAAAGTTAGTACTGAAAATGGAATGTCATCTACACAGCGCTGGCCAGTTCAGGGATCCCAGAGAACTCTGGAGACCTGGTATTTCAATGTGTGGTGCTGTTAGAGGCTTTCTGGCTTCAGTTSGAGTCACAAATGCCAATGATGCCCCTTTGCACAGAGTGACACCAAAGCTGGGGGCTACTTGGTCACGTTCCAGTCACCTTGGCTAGTTTTACCATGCATTCATCTGGCCTACTGAGGATGTGCAGATTGGTAGGCAGAGCCATTTGTTCACAGGGGCCAATCTTCTTTCTATTTCAAAAGTTTCTTCTAGGATGAATCCTGGGCATCACTGGTTGCCTGATGCTGAACATATGATGTTCCTGCGGGAGTAGATGTAAATGGAGGCTACATGTAGTGCTGGCATCTGCCGTGTGTACACTCAGGGTTTCTCTTGCAGAAGCACCCTGAAGCTGGAGTGCAGCTATGAAATTCCCCATGTGTGAAGCAAAGAAGGTCTAGAGAGCAGACTCGGAGCTGTCCCTGTGCAGCAGTATATAGGTGTAACCTACTGTCTGTGACATTATTCATAATCCTCTGCCACCAATGGGATGTTGCCAGTCAGAGGTGAGTATTGCCGTAAAACACAGATTAGAAATAACGTGAAAATGCAAGTGTCACAYGTAGATCATATTCTCTATCTGATTCATCTTTAAGGGAATTCAGTGGTATACAGCATTTTACAAGTCAGGTCCAGATATTCTTGGTTTGAGTAAGGTATTCAATCTTTTGGGTTTGGCCTCTTCTGCAGACAAGGTCTGCCTGCTTAACGGTAGCAGAAGAAGTTTCAGGAGTAAATGCTACTGCTTTTTTTCATCCTAAGTCTCACAGGGACTTCTTGATTTACTCAAATCATGAATGTAACAGAACAAGTAGAGAAAAAGAAAGTTCCTACCTTTTAGGTTTAGTTTCTCAATAGGTTCTCCCTGCCCAGATTCCTGGTTTTTAAAATAAGATATTGACGTGTCTTTAAAAACAAACCAATATTGCTTGAAGGATTTCAGAGCCAGCTTCTTGGGCCTAAAAGGACAAATGAARTGCATATATTTATATTGAAACATACTTGTCACTAAGTCATTCACAGATATTGCTAGAGATTTCCAGTTCCTTTGAGGTCATGCTCACGTGGCATCAATTCCTGTACACGTGGCATGCAATTCTCCCTAATATTGTTACCTATCTGAAAGTAATCTTAGCGTGCTACTGTGGTACAGCAAGTGAATAAACATTCGTTCTATGAATACAACCAGCAGCACAACACACAGAACTTTGCCTTTAGGTTTATAATTACATACTTTTAGTAACAATATACTCCTGTTCCTTTCAAGGAAATGTTTTACTGTTAATCTTTTTCTCCAGTGTGTTTGGYTTAGTAGAGGATTTACCCGATATACAAGAAACTTCTAATGATGAAAAATAACTGCTGCATACTTTTAAAAGCAAATTCCTATGCTGCTGGGGAAAAAAAGCATCCATTATTAGGAGCAAGTAACTGTCAGAACTTTAAAGGCTTATATTTCCTTTCATCTTAATCCACCTTTGTAATATAAAGCCAAATGTGATTTCTTTATCAGAAATGAGTTAACAATTTTCAAGTGCAATTTTCAGTTCCTGACTACAAATCAATTTCTTATCAGAATGAAACTGATAACTGTGCAATAAAAATCTGTGTCTTTCTAAAACCTGAAGACTGTTTTGTGATTTAAGACTCTGTAATGTTGAGATCTGTGCAGTCATATTAAATAATCCTTAAATCAGGATTTCATAATAGGATCAGAAAAGTGTGCTTTTCTCAGTTTACTTGTTTAGGTGAGTATTATTGATCTCATTTGCCATAATGATACTTCAAAAAAATCCAACTCATGTTTGGCTAGAAAGGGGGTAATTTGCTTGCTTCTTTTGTCTTGTGTGGGGAAAAAAATCCAACAAGGTTGTTTTCAGAAATAATTTTCTGGGAGAGCTGATTTTTTTTATTGTCTTCGGCAAAAAACTAAAATTTGAAATTAAAATTGTAGAATCTTTTCTTTAGAGATGCTGAGTGAGCCCTGGGAAATAATAAAGAGCCTATTTGTTTATCTAGTATAAGTACATTAGGCCCTAGTGCCCCAGGAGCTAGAAAGGGTTGCTGAGATCTGGCCCAGGAGCAGTTCAGGGAAGGGGTGAGGAGGGTGGTATTGGGCTAAGGGGTATCTTTGCTCATGTAAAACCTCCAGATCTACCACTGTATGACAATGCAGAACTAAAGGGGTTTCTTATAGAGGTAGTGTTTTGTTTTGTATGTTTCATTTTTACTTTTAATAACTCACCTAAGTAGCCTGAGATTATCAGCAAGTTTCGGGATGTCTGTGATGTCCTCCTATGGATAATCAGAAATAAGTTTAGTACAATGCATTCCATAAATGTCTGTTAAATCTGGTAAGAAATAGAAACTAAGTAGGTTCATCAGAGTCAATGCATGTGATGCAGTGAAAGCAATTTGGGGTTCTAAAATGACATACCAAAATATTAGTTGCTTTTCCACCTTGCAGTGTCACTTCCAGATTAGAAAGTGCCGCTTCTACTTCATCTGCTTCTGATTCACAGGTAAAATTTTGTGCCTCTGATGACAATGATAATTTGCTTACATGGTACTGAAAAAAAACAATAAAGATCAGCTTTTTGAAGGGCAAATTCACTTCAAATATGATTAAAATATCAATTAGCAACGTATAATCACAGTCTTTGACAATAAAACCCTTCATTTTTGAGGTCTGTGTACACAACTGTGTAAAGTCCTGCAGCAAAACCTTATTTATGTCTCGTTACCCACAGTCAGCTTCTAGGTCCTGCTGAGGTAGTTTGCTCTACTGCAGGATTAATGCACTAGTTCTCATGTTAAATTTACATGTATTCTGCAGTGTTCTAGCTTCTTACTACGCCGAAGTTTCCTTCCTCTCTTCTCTCCCTTACCTTTCTTGTTCCCCCCCTGTTACCAACACACATATTTATATATTGGACTTTCAGGAAGAACACATGAGATGGTGGTACTTGGTATGGTGAGCATCATGTCAGAGCAGTCTCTTCAAAACAGACTTATGTCAAAATTATACTCTGTGTACAACTTGCTTTAGACAGTGTTAGTGAATAGTTCCACAAAGTGCATGTTTCACACACTCATAAAAGTAAGTCTCCAACCTAAACAGAGCTGTCAGCTTAAGCTCTTTCTATAATTGTCCTGTCCCAGSCTGTGCTTGCCTCTTCAGAAAACAGGTTTTGCAACTTGGATCAAGTACATGCCTGCAGTGCAGCAAAGATTAGCATCTCTTCCTCTGTGCAGTCAATTTCTTCCAGAAGGATGGCCCAGCGGGCTTGTTCGTATATCTGGTTTATTCGCACAGCATCATACTGTAGCAGAAAAGAGAAATGCTGTCATTTAAGACCAAAAAAATGTGTCCTCATGGCTGGCTGCAGCTGATCTAACATTGGTCTGAAGCCGTAGAAGTCATTTCCTTCCTCCCTCCCACCTTTGCCCTGCTGTAATGTTCTCATCTTTCTCACGTGACTGTGCACAGGGTCACAGCCACTTGCTGATACAAAAGAAAACTGTTCAGGGGCCCTTGGTTGAAGCAGGAGGAAGTCAGAACATCCCTTTTTGTGGTAGCAGTTCTTAGACTAGCTTAGAGTTAAAATAATGTAACATAGCTGAAGAGATTTCCCAACTTGCTGCCACCAGTGAACAGAAATCTTCTTTCCTTTTCCCTTCTCTTGCTCTTGTCTTTTTGGTTTTGGCCCTATCCTTGSCCTAGTTCGGTATTAGTCAGGTCCTGCCGTGAACTGATTTAACTCGCTRCTCATTCCTGTCCACCTCCAGGGGCAGATACATGCTTGGTTAATAAGCTGAAATGACTCATGGGGATATTCAAGCCCCAGAGCTGGTGCAAGGTAGGTGATGGAGGCTGAACCTGGCAGTGTGACCTCTCTCCTATACTGGTGAGCTATGAAGTAGCCTTGGGTCATGTCATCCTATGGCTTCTTTACTGTCTGGGACAATGAATGAAATCGTTTGGATTGCCGAAGTTGAGGCACCTGTTAGATTTTCAGTAGAGATGGCATTTCATCCAAAACYTGCCACCTGCACGATTGCCATTCTTGTTATCTGAGATAATCAAAATGAAATAACTAAGATATAGACAGTAATAATGCTAAATCCTCAGCTGATAAAAATGGTCAACATAAAATTCACATCAGAACTCTTACTGATTTATGCTGCTCAACGATCAGGCTTTACTTTCACTAAAAATGKCACTCAAGCAGTAGGAATGCTAGCTTAACAAAACTACAGTAACTGAGTTAGTGGAAGCAAGGATAAGAGAGAGGCAACTTCAGATAAGCGTTTAACCGTTTTTTGAAGCTTAAGTCTTGTTTTCAAAAGAGCCCTAAGCATTTGAGCTGAGCTTTCCAAAGATATTCAATCACTCAAATCATTCAGTTATATTGTTGTTTYGGAAGAGATTTGATTTAGGTGCCTAACTATCTCCCAAGGCTCCCAAGAAAAACCAAATCTCACAGAAGGGCAGTGGAATGTAAGTGCCTTTTGAAGTCTGTTCTCAAAAAYAGGATGTATTTCTTTGCACCCTTTTGGATACTACAAGTTAAGATTTCCTCTTATTTTTTACTTGTTGAAAAAGAGAGTAAACCAGTTCCCCAGGAAATCTGGCCACTCTTTCTGATGCTCATTAGATCTCGTCTTTATACCTAGGAACTTATTTCAGGTGAAGATGGTGATTCACTATCCAGAGGGGAAGAGCACAGACTTAGCTGAAGGGAACAAGTTGAATTTGATCTCCAAATAGCCCGTAACAAAATCCTAGCCAAGATTCAGATCCTTGTGTAAGATGAAAGGAGGCAAACAATAACAATAAAAACAAAGCTCTTACTTTTGGATTCAAGTCAAAGAAAGTGTAATATTTAAAGCGTAAAAGAAGTTGATCATCCTCCAAAATGCCTTGCTCCATTAGTGATCGAGATGAATCTAGCCAACTGCAGAAGAAAACAACCCAAAAATTCATTTGTACAGGAAAAACTATCACACCTACAGAACTCCAATATAATGGGAAACAAAAGTGAGAATGAACAGCTCTAATTCCTGCAAGTCCGRGTAAAATTCATACAATTCAAAAAASTTGAACATTTGGTGCATGAACACCATACCTTAAATGGTATTCAACACTAGCCAAAAGTGTTCACTCTTCCTGAAGAGAAGACTCTTTCAGGAGCAGATGCCAGAAACAGCAGAAACATGTTATGGGACAACCTACCAAAAGATTCTTTCTTCTTGACCTCCAGAAACGGGAAATTGACTTAAGCCAAGATAAAAATGCTCCTGTATCTTTAGAATTACTGCTTTTTTTATTTCAGAGTTTGCTGTTTTATAATTCTGGCTACTTTTGTTACCCAGTTAAACCCAATTAGAATGTTGAATTACTGTTAAATGCTCCAAAGATCTGAAAAAATGGCAATCTGTGTTTTAATGCTAAAGAGAGAATACTCTCCAAAAATTGCACCATTAACCCCTAGTGCTTTATATTCTTCTGGGAGGTACAACAGGCAATGTTTGTGCCTAATTAAAGAAGTTACCTGTTTGTATTGTTTTAGGGCTTCCTGCCTTTATCCAWATGTGTAGTTCCACTGCCCATTAAAACCTTTCTGAATTTGCTGACTTTGTCCAAAATGACTKTGAGCTGCTACTCACTTCAGTGGATTTGCCTTCATCTAACAAAGGAATTTAATCCAGAATCTGCACAATGTTATTGACAAAGTTGTCTCATCAAGAATGTTGCTTAAAAGAAAAGAATCAGAGAGAGTCTCAAATTTCTGAGATGAAACCTAGATCAAAGTATGTTTTGAAGTAGCAATATAGGATAATATGGGGCTTTTGTCTTCAAATTCTGTTCTGCACTTGTCAAAAAGCTAGATTAATGGCACCCCAGTTAAGCCAACTCAGAGAGATACCAGAGAGGCCTCCTTACCCTGCGTTAAGTTTGGCTTTGTCAGCTAAAGTCCGAGGCTGATACATCTCTGCTAATGTTTCTGGAGAACAGCTGGGATGACTGAAGGCCAGGACGCTGCAGTTCTGCTCAGTCAGGGGACTGTCGCTGAACCAAGTCATTGTGGAAGAAGCCGGTGTCCCACTGACAGGATCATAAGTAGGTGTCATGGTTTTACTATATAAACCTGGACTTGCTGCAACTTAAAACAGGAATGCGTTATTCCAAAGCACATGACCTTCAGACTTAGGTAGTCTGCCACATCCCAGCCTAAAAGACCCTTCCCTTTCAAGACACTCTCTTGTCTCTACTGTTTGCAGTAGGCCTTGCCCTTGGAAATATGAAGCACCCTTAGAGACTGAAGAGCTTTTCCTTATTCTGTCAGATATCCCAGATTGGGAGAGGAAAGAGGGAGACTTAATTTCCAATTCTGTATTTTGGCTTCTCGTTTCAGGTTGCCAGAATTGTTCAATAGTTTAAAAGTAGACTCATACTTTCAAAGACCAGAAGCAAATACTGTGTGTGTGGCCACACACAGTAATCTGTTCTGTTTTCTGGTGTGCCCTTKCATATACCAATAGAAAGGAAAACATTACCCCCCTGAGAGAATACTGGAAATTAGAGAATAGTGGAAATACTGTGATTTCAGTAACTTTGGGGAACTGTTAATTTCAGGTCCACTGTGTCTCTCTGACCTCTATTCTACACTAGACTGTGTATGGAGAACGCTCCCCTGTTTTAAATGTGGATCAAAGAATTTCTTCCTCCTTTTGACCATCAATCGGAAGAACTGGATGACATGAATTTTTCATTACCTGTTGATCCAGAAGTTACTGGAGAGTTGCACAGGTTTAAAACATCTTCTGAGTCTTTGCTATTCTTGTCTTTTTTCTTTTTCTTTTTAAGTGTATCTTCTGATTGCCTCAACAAAGAGAGTTCTTCTGACCGCCTGATATCTAAAATTGCAATTCGGGAGTTGAAGTAAGAGAAAATTTTTGCAACTCAGAAGTTCATGGCCAAAAAGATCAGTTTTGCTGGCTATTCATTGCTATCTGAATTTTATTTTAGCAGGTAGGGAGGACTAGCTATTTAAAAACAATGGCTAGTAAGAACAGACACAGAACTATCGTATTTTAAGTGCATGCCTTTTCTTTTTCAGTTATGAATTTTTACTTTTTGCCCATAATGTGCTGTCTTGCTGATATACTATTCGCTAATACACTGCTGTTTTAGACCTGTACTATCAGCTGCACACCTGCTAATTTGTTTCTGAATGATACTGGTAATCCTGCAGTAAGCAAAGACATTTTTGACATGGCAAGTACAGAGTTCCTGTACTCATTCTATTCAAACTGGAAGAAAAATGCAGGCAAAAATACTTAATTCAACCAAATTTCAGTTGAATAATTATCACATCATTCCGTCGTAGCTGCTAAGTGTAATAAAGATGTACTATCCCTTTTGCAATCCATTACTAGAAGATGGAGTTGAAAGGTGCGTTGTGGTAAACGTCTTGAGGAGGCAAATTCAGCTTCTGAAGTTGACTGTGTTAATAGGTTAAGCTTGGAAGATCTAAATTAAAAGTTGGATTAACTGTACTCTAAAATTAAAGGATTCTGAAGATTATTTGCAGGCTCAACTTAGTCATATTGGTCCCAGGCACACAAGTCTAGCTAATTTCAAAACSTAATCTTTGCATGGAGGTGCCTCATGCTGGGGCTAGCAGAGATGTGTGGGCTCCTCACTACAAAACACGCTTGGGGTTCACTTGCATGTGCTGCTGACYGAAAATGTTTGGAAGCGTCTTGGACATGCGAGCGCATTCCTTCTGCAGTAAAGCAGCAGACCAAGTTGAATATGATGTTACTGATRTAGTGCTAGCGATACTTCAACTGAGGACCCCTATGGAATTGCCTGTGCTAGAAGCTGGTGAAGGAGGCGAGTCAGCTCTTTGCCTGCAAAGCCATCGTTGGTACTTGGACAATGAGCACTGCAACTGATGGGGACACGTTTCTRAGCACTGTTTGCATGAAGGCCATTGCACCACCTGAGGGGCACTGATACAACCCTCATACTGAAAATAAAGGCTGTCCTTTGATCTCAGATCAACTCAATCAAGTTCCCCCTTKAGTTAAATGGTTTTGTGGGAGTAAGAACTTTACCTCAGACAAAGACACTTAACGAAATGCTCCAATTTAACTTCAGGAAGAGATTTAATTTTACTTACTGAGAATTTTGCAGATGTCACTGACAGCCTTGAATACTACAGAAGAGAAGCTGACTTTCAGTCTCACAGTCTTCATGTTTGGCAAGCGAAGCCGCAGCATTTTGTGCTGAGTAGTGAAGAACAGCTTAGCATCTGCCTGCACCCCACATTTATCCAGTGACCAGTGGGTTTTCAGAAGCCAACATTTTTTCTGTTCCCACCAAAGAGCATAATCTGACCAATCCTGTGGTATTTCTAGCAAAATGTTTTAAAAAAAAATTGTTAGTAAGCTATAGAGCAAACATACTCAAAAATTTGGCTTGGAAACTGAGGAGGGAAACAGAATAGGAAAGATAGTACAGTACAGTAAAAAAGTCTTTTAATAGTCTGTGCAGGAGAACAATCTGGTCAGARCAAGCAAGAACTGAAAGTGCCCTTCCATTGACTCGGAGCCTTTCAAAAATGTTGTGTGGCTCTTTTTGCCTTTTTCTTTTTCTGTCACACACGTAAAAAAAGACAAAACAAAACCTTTTATTTGGCAGTAAGAGCACTAAAATTAATTGCTGAATTAAGAATTCTTGAGACTGTTTTGCTGAAGTGTTTTCTTACAGTTCTTTTTTTTTCTTGTTTGTCTGAAGTCAACATTTAAGAAAGATTAAGTTGCAAGGAGTTGTGTTGACAGACATAGTTCTCTTTTATGGTTAAAGTCTAAATTATTATTAAATGAACTCTTAAATATCCTGGATTTTTATTCATTTGTGGGGAATGAAGCACTGCCTAATCCTGTTTGAACAACAGGAAGACCAATAGSATCTATGATGGTATTGAACAAAAAGAAAGCAGGTGGAGAGAAAACAATAGACTTTATTGTCTTTGAGTTTTATTTTTCCCTGTCCTTTCACCTGCTTCAATAACTGAGGCGTAATAATCCAGTAACTGTCAAACTGATAGGACTTTTGCTCTGCAGCCACTATCTCACCAATCATTTTGGGAAAAGGAACTAACAAACCGCAAGGCTGCAGCCTGTGGGAAGAGCACAGCTGCCTCTACCAGACTTTCTCTAGCACTGTTGGATTTACTTCACGGCAGACACTGATCTTCCATATTTGGTGGCAGGCAGAGCACACAAGCTTCAACAMATCGTGCAGAGCAAGGTGACTAGAGGAGATAGTAACTGTACCACAGGTTATGATGACTGCTGGAATAAAACAAGAGGAGAAAAAAATACAGGAAAAAGAAAAGAGAAGGTCTAACAGGTAGGTCTTTTACATTTGACCGTGTAAAATGGTTTCTGCATTAAATATTCTTTCCTGCCCCAAATCTGGTATTTCTTTAGATATAAACRTTGTCATGGTGTTCATACTTGAAGAGTATGACCTAACAGTCTGACCTAAAGGTGTCCCTTTCTATGTGAAGCTGGTGACCGAAGATTTCTAGATTTAACAACTTCAGGAAAGAGAATGATAGCTGTGAAAATAAGTAGCATGTGAAAACCCAGTGGCATTGATTTAATAATCAMATCCCATGCCATCTTAAATATATCTGTGATTCTGCAGTGTCAGAATACAGATGTTTATTTTGGCAGACAACTCCATTTGTTTTGAGTTAGAAAAAAACTACTGCTTCTAGGAACCTCCTGCAGCCAGTCTGTGCTSTGAGTGGCTGTGCACTACTGGATGGCTCGATACTGGATTAACTATGCTTAATGTGGCTCTGATTTTTGCCAGAATGCTAATAGTAGCACAGTAACCAATAGCTTCTGAAATGACCATGTAACAATTAATACTTTCTCTACATAACTGCTATAGATGGATACATTTCTTTTACTTCTCAAACTAGCTAGGCATGAAGCTGGAAAGGGAGTTGGAATAATTAGTTTAATCCAGCTATGATAATTTTCTAACTGGAGAACAAAAGGAGGTAGAGTTTTGTTTACATTGCGATAGCAGAGGTGCTTTGGTCATAGACAAAGGTTCTGTCCATGCCAGGTTGGGTCTGCAGCACCTACGTGCTGGTTGTACACCTACTCCTGGAAATATGTGAGGCACAGCCATTCAAAATGGGCAMGGGCCTTTATTTTTAGAGGAAAAGCTGCATGTGTTATTTTAATGAGCGTGTGTAAATTAGACAGGTCTTTACTCACTAATTCGTTCTACTAATTTCAGCATCACTCCTCCAACATGAAGATCTCCTGAGACCTGTAGCGTAAATTCCTTTTGCACCTCTTCATGCTGATGATCGACTATCACCATCAGTTCCCAAGAATTGGACCCGTATTCACTTGAGGAAGTCATTTCTGGTAATGTCTGGATAAGCTCTGCAGAAGACGAAAAAAAAAAAAAAAAATCTTTTCATCCTTGAAATAAATTTATCTCACCAAAGTCCCCAAACACTTCCTGGCTGCCAAGACTTCACAGTGGCCTTGGCTGAAATGACAGATGAGGTATCTTGTTACCTCTGTACTAGACTCTACTTCTGTAATTACTCTTGCAAGATAGGAATGTGTGGGGGTTTTTTTGTTTGTTTGTTTTGTTATTATTCTGAATGTTTTGGAGTTTTTTTTCTTTCTCCAGTTGTCTTGTTGGGTAGAGATAGCCCAAGTTTCCCCACTCTTCAGTGCTGATCTGGCATTGGGACAACATAAAGCCTGCAGTTCACTGTCCAGGGAACAGAGTAGCTTCACTGAATTGTACATATATTGCTGTAATTTTTCTTGTGAATAAAAATTTACAGTTGCAGCAAAGACAAATGAATTCTGCCAGCTTGGTGGTGCCAAAGGACCAAAAGTGGAGTAGTTTATCCTTTTGGGTGGATCTGAGGAGGAACAAAACTTTAATGGCTCTCTGTCAATTCAAAGGAGAGTTTGGGGAGAAGGAGGTAAGAACAGAGATGAAAAAAAAAGTGGAGGAGGGACCACCTGCCTGCAGGGAGTTGGGATGTGGGGAAAAAAAGATGTGATCCAGGGAACTCTGCAKTAGAAGGACGGCACGAGCCCCTTTGCAGCGCACTGCTTCTGGTCCAAAAGGCTCCTGGAGACATGAAAAGGTTTGGGACACCCGATTCCTGCAGTTCCTGCAGTTGCCCTCTGTGTGTGCAGAGATGTACGTGTGTGTCCCGGCCCTGTAGGGGAACTTGTCCGAAATCCCAGCAGGTTCCTGCTGGCCAGGTAAGCAATAATGATGCCAAGCCAAACTACGGAAGATGCTCAAAGCAGAAGCTCTGGTTCTCATCTGCAGATTCCTACTAATTACTGAAGAAGGAGCTTCAACAAGGTGAGTAATGCTGCGGTAAGGAGCTGTGTTATTTACTCAGTGAGAAAAGAGATCTGGTTCCTTCGGCTGTCACATTAAACAGCACCCTAAGAAATTAAGTTTTACAGCTGAAAGTCAGGCAGTGAAGCACATGGTCTCAACTTGCTGCAGAATTTCAGCAGCATCGAGGAGCCCAAATGACAGTGAGTCAAGTCAAGTTAAAGTAAGTCAAGTACAAGTATAGACTGCTTCAAATATATATATATATATATATATATATATATAAAGTGTGTTTGCAAAGAAAGCTTATGGGGACATTAATAATTTTATCAGACTTATGTAACTCTTTTTTAAAAAGTATTTAGTAGGTTAAAACCATTAGCCTAAAACTTAGCACAAAAAGAATCAAGGGTCATAGTCACAGATGGGAGTAAGAGAAGGAATGACCTTCCTAGGACTGACGACAGAAAAAAGACTAGACCAAAAGTTAAGCTAAAGGTTAACTGAACTCTAGCATGCCTAGAAACAGGATGAAAATTTAAATACACCTGTTTAGCCAGCTGATAATATTGAAGCTTTGTTATTGATAATAAAAAGAGKTTATTGGTGCCAAAACTGCAGGCGGAGCCCAGTTCAAAGGTTCATTCTGAGATTCTCATCCAGAGGAACAAAGAGGCCCTTTCAACAAAGGAGTGAGCCTGCGTTAGCCAAATCTTCTCCAGACTTTCCAATGTCATTTATGTTTCTTAATATCTTAAGGGTTAAGAATTTCTACAGTAAGACCTTTCTTATTTGGTTGTGTTCAGAAAACTATATATCACATGATGGGACTAAAGGAAATGGCTACAAACTGAAGCATCGGAAGTTCCACAGGAACTCAAGAAAAAATTTCTTAACAGTGAGGGTGACAGAGCCCTGGAACAGGCTGCCCAGAGAGGTTGTGGAGTCTCCTTCTTTGGAGATCTTCAAAACCCGCTTGGATGCAGCCCTGTGCCACGTGCTCTGGGTGATCCTGTGTGTGCAGGGGGGCTGGTTGGACTAGGTGACATCTGGAGGTCCCTYCCAACCTTAAGCATTCTGTGATTCTATGATTTGTATCTTGGAGTACAACATAAATGACAACCAGCTAACCATTCCGGTGAAGTTCTTCCTAAGATCTGTTCCCAGAATACTGATGTTCTAGACCTGGTTCCTTGAACTCCTCTGGTCCTAGGTCAAACCTGATGTCTACTCTACTGATGTAAAATTTGGTATCAAAGGGCTAATAGAAGTGTGCTGGTAATCACAAATACTACAACAAGGAAAAGTGGCTCCAGAGGTGACTACAATAGAAATGTGTCTGCCAAAGATATGAATGGTCCCAAAGAAATGAAGGAYGACATAAATGAAACAGAGCTCAAAACCATCCTTTTAAGGAAAATCACCTTACTAAGGAGTGCTAGAGTAGTGCTCAGTGTGCCCTAACTACTAAAATAATTTTGACTTATGCAGAGCTCTAATTCTGAAAATTGAAACTTAATGATTACAAGAGACTAACATACAGTGAGGAACAAGTGCTACTGTTAACTATGTTGGCCAATGTGGGAGCTTACGCCTTTTCACCAAATAGCTACTCAACCAACAAGGGTTTCTGCTTATGTAAGAAGCTTGCTTTGCCTTGGTGAACAAAGCCAAAGCTTTGGCTGACACTACTGTTGGACACTAGAAAACACTATGGCTCTACTGCCTCTGGGGTAGAGCTGGGATGTTGAATTTGGGCAGCTCGGCACCATGTGGATTCACAGGCTCCGAGACACCTTTTCCCAGGGGTTAGGGGCTGTTCCGCAGCAGCAGGAGGAGACTCGGCTGCRGGGCGGGTCACCTGTGTGGGCGAGGCCTCGGGGCAGGAGGACATGTGGAGATTAATTGTTGTTGTTGTTGTGTTTTATTCACAGCAATAGAAAAGAAGTCTTGGCTTCAGTCATGCCCTAAGCATCAATAACAGCACCAAAAATCAGTTGGCCTAAGCATGGGAGCTGTGGGATTTCACTTCAGGAGCACAGAACCTGACACAACAGCCACGCRTTTACTGTTTGCTGTAAGTCCATATTGTTACCGAGCGGAAACAGTCTCTCTCATCCGCCCCCTTGTGCCAATGAAAGCATTTTGGACCTGATTTTTTTTTTAAATTTCTTAATGCACTTCTGCATACAAATGCATGTGCTGACACGGGTAAAAATGAACAGCCCAAGGGGTGGGTGAAACCATTTCTTTCATTCACATTGCAGTTTACAGGCCTTGGAAAACCATAGCCCGTGAGCAGCTAATTCTGGCACTCCAGCAGCCGCTAAAGCTGCTCTCTTCCCCCACTTCCTTTTCAAACCAAAAGTTTCAGTTTGAAGATAAGAAAACAGAAACGCTAGTAAATACATTGTAGAGCRCAGCACAGACAGACCCCAGTGTGGAAAAAGCAGCAAGTTGCTGTCRGTTTAAACTCCAAACCAGGGCTCCGTGTCTGCAGACCTTCGCGCCAGGCCCGGATCTGCACGGGCGGGCGCGGGGCTGCGCGGCCTCCGCACACAGCAGAGGGGCAGAAACGCGCCCTAGGCCGGCTTCCTTGCACCGAGCACCTTGCCCAAGGCGGATACAGAAAAGCCACGTTTTAACAGCCAGGCTCCATGGTGCGTGTCCGTGCTGTTCACTCTGTGCAAGCTGTAGCCCTCACAGCTCTAGACTTCTCACTTGTGGAAATAAAAGAGGACATTATTATTTGTACTAGAGCAAGACAAGATCCGCTTTGAGGTAAGCTGGGGGGAGGAAAGGGAAGCAAAGCACAATACTGTTCGCTCTGAATATTTGCGAGGCCTCTAGCACCTCCCTGGCACCTCCCTACGAGGTGCTGGGAGCTGCGCAGCCCTATCCCTATCCCTATCCCTAACCACCGCCTTGACCCCGGCCCTGCCGCGAGGGTCCCGGCTGCGGCCTCGCGTGAGGGAGCGCCGCGCTCACACTGCGGCCGCCGCCACGAGGGGCCCCGAGCGCGGCCCCGAGCGAGCGGCTCGAGCCACGGCGACCAAAGGAGCTCATAAATGAAAGGAACGGGAAAAGGGGGCAGTGCCGCGTTCCTCCCCGCACGGCCCCGCACGGAGGGGCAGCTCGGCCCCGTCCCGCCGCCCTCGCTCGCTCGCTCACCCGCTCGCGGCGTCCTGCGGCAGCGCGTGCCGGGCCGCCGCTGCTCCCCTCGCCTGCAGCCGAGCGGCGGCGCGGCGGCACGGCGCGGCTGCAGGGAGCGGCGCTCCCGCCCCTTCCCGGCCGGGGCCCGCGCCGGCTCCGCCTGGCGGCCACCCACGAGCGACAGGTGTGGGCGGAAGCAGCCGTTAGCGGCGGCGCGGCCGTTGGGAGTGGCCGTTGGGGAGTGGCCGTTAGCGGCGACGCGGACGTTAGCAAACTGCCCCCCTCACGAAGCGCTGTCCCTCGCCCCTTGAAGGAGAGCAGGAGCTTTCCGTGCCTGAGGGCGGCTGCGGGCCTCGCAAAGGGGAGATTGCTGCAGTGCTGAGAGCAGCAGGGAAAACAAACACCCGCCTCAGCCCCTTGCAAAGACCCAACATACTGCCCCCAAAAGCACGGACTACAGCCATACACCCAAGGCTGTAACCAGGCCCCACAGGCTGGTTTGTGTTCTGTTGCTCCAGCTTCTCGGCACCGAGGTGCTGCCAAGGCCACTAGCTGAGCAGGGTGTGCTCCAGGTGCCGGGCTATCTGTGGGCTAAGGCAGGCTGTGGAAAAGGAGCCATGACGAAAAGCCCTTTCTGGTGGCAGCAGTCGGACCACGGGTGAAAGCGGACGAGGTGGGGCTGATAGCCACCCTCAGGAACGACAAATGGCAAATGTCTGTGTGAAATACTGCCACATCTCCCCCTCAGGAAGCGAGAGCTGGGGAAAAGGCATGGTAAACATGACTTGAAAGAGAAACACTTAAATTTAGGGTAACTTAAAAAAACAGCTACCTTAAAACCAGTTACTGTTTAAAAATGTAGCTGTGCAGATAAAAGGCAGCGTGCAGTGGGCACGGCTGAAGGCTTTTTGCCCTTTACAGCCTTCTGTCTAACACTGGCTGCTGGGTGTGCAACTGATAGGAGTAATTGTGAAACAGCCCCACGAGCCAACACAGGCTTGTTGTGGTGGGAATGGCTTGTCACAAAATCACAGAATCATAGAATGCTTAAGGTTGGAAGGGACCTCCAGATGTCACCTAGTCCAACCCCCCTGCACACGCAGCGTCACCCAGAGCACRTGGCACAGGCTGCATCCAAGTGGGTTTTGAAGATCTCCAGAGAAGGAGACTCCACAACCTCTCTGGGCAGCCTGTTCCAGGGCTCTTGTCACSCTCACTGTCAAGAAATTTTTTCTTAAGTTCCTGTGGAACTTYTGAGTTCCTGTGGAACTTTTTTGGTGCTTCAGTTTGTGGCCATTTCCTCTAGTYTTATCGCTGGCCACCACTGTCAGTGGGACTCTATCTGTGTTCAACAAGAACAACCCTACTCCAAGCCTGTCAAGCCATCTCGGGTGTTCAAGGGAATGCTGCTTTTCATATGCAATCCCTGAGGAGTTTTGGATTGATCTAGGGTGGTTCCCAGAGAGAAAGTGAATTAATCTCTGAATGTACACAGTATACTAAAGGCCAGAAATGGGTACTTGTCATGTAGGAGTATGTTAGTATGTTAATATGTTAATATATTAATATGTTATATATATGTTAGTATATATATGTTAGTATGTTAAGACACATGGATTAAAAGTAGATTCAGTTGACTGGAAGTGGACACATACGAGGCCATTTCCATSTTTAGCTTGTCTTGACTTAAGGTTTTGACCTCCTTGGTGAATGTAGTGACTTGATAAGACGCAGTGAAAAAAAATGGTATAGAGGAAATAGAGAAAAACAGTATAAGGATATATATTTGGAAGCGTATGAGGAACAGTTACTCTTGTTAAAAYAAAGCAAGTGTGAAGTAACTGAACCACACAAAAAAATTATTAGATGTTGGCACCCTTTATTTCTCTGCTAGCTTTAGCCAGAAAGCTGCTCTGGCTACACCAGGCTTTTGAGATTGTCTTCACCTGTACACAGGCATCAAGACTGCACAGGCATCTTTAACTCAGCAGTCTGAGAGCTCATACCTTTCAGGGCTCTGTATCACCTGAGGTTACTCAYAGGCCTTAATTGCCTTAAGCAGCTGCACCTGTGAGCCCCTACCCATAAGCCCAGGAATTCTAGTTGAGCTCAGGCTTGGGTTTTCAGGTCTGCTCTTCTCCTGGTGGGATTTTGTGCTGTCTCATTGCTAAGTCTGTCTTTGGCCCTGTTGTCTGGCTGTATTTCCTGGACCTGGTTCATCTCCTTGCTGTGACTGGAGCTACTTGTGGACCCTTTTATCAGTGCCCTGTGCTGCTCATGCTGTTTAGACCCTCTGGGCCTGCCCTCTGCTTGGTGAGGGTGTTGTGTCTGTTGGGGTCACCTTCTGGCCCTGGCTTGCTCCTACTTATAGAGCAGCCCTGTTCTGCCGATTCCTGATGATCTCTTGATTGAGTATTTGGCTGGCTGTTGGCTCTTCATATGGTACATGGTAAGCAAGCACTTTTGCAGAGGAATAGGCAATATGAAATTTGGCTCTGAGGTGCTTTTAAGTGTTGGGAAAAGTAAAAAAAATCCACAGAGGTAGCCCTGGGACCTCTTCCTAGTTATATGAGTTTGCTTGGCCTTACATGCATGACTAGGGCCAGGCTACAAAGACTTTGCTGGTTCTCTTGCAGCCTGAGCATGGGCATGATGTAGTGGTTGGGGGAAATTTGGAAACAGCTGAGTCTGCTGCGGCTCAACTAAGAGAGATAGAGGAAGAAAAAAAGCTCATGTTAAATTGTTTAAATAAATAAAACTTCTTATCTTTGGGCAAGGCTACAGGCCCTTGCTTTAATCAAGCAAGAAGATGATCAGGAGAAAATAGGTATAAACAAAGGTGGTTACCAGACCAGGACTATTAATAAACATATCTCTAATTCTTGATCCCTTCTAAGCACAAACTTTTTTTTTTTTTTCCAGTTTTCTGTGGATGACCAACCTGAAGGAAGAGAATGCAGAGTGTACTTTTGTCCTGTTGTACTTGGAGGGCTGTGGAACACATCTTCTTAACAGCCCTGGAGAAAACACTTTATAACCTATGTGTTAGACTCCTTGGAGAGGGAAATGCATTTGCTGTGCCTGGAGGGCTGGATGAAGGAGAAAAAGCCTGTTAGAAAACCAGCAAGCGAAGAAGTCTGGGTAAGTTTCTTTGAGTCTACTGTAAACTCCTGTTTTGAGGCATAGGTATCAGTAAGTGCATGGAATAAAACCCACTGTGCACTAGGAGTAATGGTTTACTTCTGGTAGGCTGAGAAGTTAAGGCTGCCTTTGGAGGCAGCGTGCTCGTTTTTGGTCTGCGCATGGCGGGCGGGTGGATGAAGTCAGATTTGGTAACTTGTAGTTCTCTCTGGCGAGTGGTGAAAACTGGAATTGAGCAATAGCTGTTCTCTGCTAGACCTCCTGTGGAAAATGGCAAGAAAGCTCCATTTGTACCTTTATAATTGGGTTATATACTGGAAATTTCCTGTAGTCRAGAATGAACCTTACTTGATATTGGTACTGGATGAACTCATGCTTGGAGTTAGCAAAGATTCTGATCAATTTACACTTTGAGCCCTTTTCCTATAGGGTCCACTAAAGACCTATAGCAAAGTGTCTCTTAAAATTTCATATTTTGAGAGCATGGGTATGTGACTTGATTAAGACAGAATATATATATTTCTGCTAATTTTTACAGCTTCTCTACACTTTTTAGGCTAATGTTTTAAACTGACATTGTTACCAAGTGAGCACCTAAAACTTGATCTATTGTGTTCTTTCCTGTGATTATGTTCCCATGAACACAAGGTACAAAGGAGCAGTCATCTTGATGGAGTCTCCTTATGTCTCAGGCTGCCTAACCAGGAATGCCTCAGAAAACGTGCAGTCCAGTCTTCATTTAACACTGTTGAAAATACCCAGAGGCCTGTATATATCCATTATGATCTTGCCTTAACTATAGGAATAAAATTCATTCAGCAGTAAATTACCAATACTGTTGGGGTCCTTTCAGTTCATAGGTGYGTCTGGCTTCCAACCTTCTGTTCTTTCTCCTTTTGCCTTATGTCTTCTCCTCTCATTCTCCATTTGAGTGCCTACAAACAGCAACAAATTTGGTGGTATGGGGTAAGTGGAAGGTTGGGGCAATGTGCTGCCTCAAAGAAACTTTGCGCTCAGTTGTATTCTTTCTGGGTGTTTCTTGATGGTATTTTCTGTTGTTATATGAAGCTTCAGGTGGGGATTGTACGTGGTGGCAGCCTTTGTGTGCACATAATGAAGGATCTCTTGCCAGGCAGTGAGTAATGATTGTAAACTGATTAACTCCTTAATTAAATTCTGGTACAATGGAAGTTAGTGGCAGAGCTTCTATTAGCTATAGGAGGGTCTGTTTTTTACTGTGATTTTTGCAAGTCTGCAGTGTAGGCCACACTAACTACTCTGGCTCATTCCTGGGATGTTTGCATGTCAGCAGAAACCCCATGGTGCTGGAAGCATGAGAGATCCCAGTTGGCTGCTGCTGTTTATGTTGTTGATCCACTTGAGAGAGAGGTGGAGTGAAGGTGTTGCAGGAGCACAGCTTGTGCCTATGGTAGGAGAGTGACATGCAGGAGAGAAAGTGTCTTTCTCATTGACTTTATGTGAACTTTATGTGCTTTGAAGRCAAGGTCTTGCTACAATGGTCCTGCAGGACTAATGCTATCTCCTTCTCCATGAGCAAACGTTACCACATAGAGGATGGTGGGAATTTTGCCCTAAAATAAATGAGAAGTCAAGGCAAGAGGTAGTTCTCAATCTGTCAGTGCCTCTTGACTGTATTCCCAATTGATGAGTCTAATAGCCATGATCTAAATATCTGAAGCTCTGGAGAAGTTCACTCCAAATCTAATTTCTGTAGTTAGTCTACAGCTGTTACTCTGATTAAATGGATCAATGAATAAATCTTTCTGTCCTTTTTGTTAGTTTTTTGTTTAGSGGAGCTTTCGTTCCAGGATTGAAAGTAGGCCCGAGGTTGATGTGGGCTTCCCTAGGAGCAGAGCAGAGAGCGGTGACCCATCATGAATCAAGCTTGCAGGGAGTGGAGCTCCTCTCCAGGCACAGGTGTTTCTGAAGGATTTTGAGAGCTGACCCTTTGCCTTGGACTATTTCATGATTGGAAAGTAGAGTGTGAGAAACACTGATGTGTCTAGCACGAAGTTTTGAGTCATGTAAAGGCATTATCAAAATCCCCCTCAATATGAGTAACAGTGAGGGATGAGTGAGAGGGGACTTCTTCCAAGGAACAGACCAAGGACAACAATGCCTGAAATGGACCACAGCAAAATGTCTTTTTTTATCCCCAGACAGCTGATTTAATGACTCAGGCCTGTGTCACTTTGCTTTTAGTGGAAGCAGTGGAGCTCTACAAAGCCTTAGTTGCAGATGGACTTTTTCTTTTTTTTCCATGACTGAGAAGGAACTAATTCACTGAACCAACCATTCAGCTTTTTGCCTTGTTTCAGCTCAGTGATTGCAACACAGAGCAAAGATTGTGGATTGGACTGCTCTGAGGGTTTAGAAAATTCCTGGCCCAGTTGTTAGGTGTCCTAGGTGTTGSGGTAGGACTTCCAGAAATTCTCACTATGACCTTTTCTCCCTGCTTTTGTGAAGTCAAGGGTACAAGGAGATGGTGTCAAGTGCACGCTGTCCAGTTTTGAACATGTTTTCTGTGAATGCTTACCTGAGTGGCTAACATAGTACCTCAGGAGGCAGGTGGCAGTTAGAGTTATGATTTTGAAGTTGTTATGCCTGAATGTGTACGTAGAARTTATTGTCTACAAGATAGTCTTACACTCTTCAGCATATGTTTGTGCAGACAGACYAAAGAGTCTTTTGCTCCAGGGACCTCTTGGATACTAGTTGTGTTTCTTCCATGTGCACATAAATAAGGATGCATGGATGTTGCAAAGGGGTTCAGTGGTAGATGGGGTTTTCTGAGACCCAAGAGGCAGAGCCAGAGCTGCACAGGTGTTTCCTGCCTTCTGGCTTGGAGGCTCTTGGTCATGCTGATGGGAGCCAAGTGCTGGCTCGGGGCATAGTTGGGCTACTGAGGTCCTGGAGGGCTTGGGGAAGGCAGTGCTGACTAATGGAGCTCCTGGCCTCTGGGCCAGCATCCTGGGGGGAGTAGGGCAGCCGTGATACAGTCTCTGAGGGACTGTATGGCTGTGTCCTATAGACTGGATTTGCCSTATGTTTGAAGACTTCCTTGCACTCTCCATCTTGGCATGAAGTAGAAGGCTGTGTCTGTCTATGTGGTAATGCATCAACAGACCTTTTTTTAGAAGCACTGGTCCCAAAGTAGATTGTGCAACTTTCCTGAATGACTAGCTCCTGAGGAGAGCAGTTCTGGCTTGACAGACTAAGTTCCCTTATCTGAATGTGCAGCTCTTCCTTGCTGCCCTCTCAGCAGCCTAGCTAGAGCAGCCACAAAGCTGCCCTGGCTTTGCGGGACTGCTGCTAGGAGCCAGGCTGGCTGTGGCTGTTTAGTACTGTCATGTATAGACGTGTCAGCTAGCTCGGGACTGATGCATGGACAGATACGTTCCTACCCTGTGTTGTTCAGTGTCAGTCACTTACAGCCAAGGGAAGTAGATGTCACTGCCGTGCCAGGGAAAAGGTCCTATAACAGACAGGCTGTTTTCTGCACCCATTGAACTTGTCTCCTTTTGACTTAGAATTTCTTCCTCTTTTAGAGAAAACCCAGGAAGCTTTCGCATTGTCAGGCTCTCATTTCTAAACTGAGCTGGTGGTTGTTGCTAATGTGAGCAGAGCTGCTGGGAGCAGAGGCTGACACTGTCTGTGCAAGAATAGGCTGTGGTCAGCCCCGTGGAGAGGAGACGGGGCTGAGACTGAGAGAGGATCTGGCTGTGGTGTGTGCGCCCTGTTGTTGAAAGGAGGGGGAATGACTGAAAATCGGACTCCAGCTGCGGTGCCCCGGCCCTGTGCCGCGGGCAGGAGCGCCGCCTGCTTCCCTGGGCTGCGACCAGCAGGCGCCACTGCAGCCTTAGGAACGGGGGCTGCGAAGGCGCAGGGAGCTGCCGCCCTGGGCACGGCTCTGCCTGGGCGAGGGGCCTCCGAGCGCTCTTCCTGTCTGCAGCACCGTGCGCCGGGCCCCCAGCTGCTTGGGGTGTATGGGGGGCGTGGGTGAGCCCCCTTTGTCCGGGCTCCTTGCTGGGTGCTTTGGGCAGGTGGCACGCTTGCTATTTAGGATGCTGTGGAGAGCTTGCTTTTCCTCTGAGGTTCCTGCTCATCCACGCTCTGACAGATGTGAGATGCCCTGTGGGATCTCAGCTGCCCTCCCAGAGGAAAGCAGAGCACTCTGCTCCCTCCAGGTCATTGGAGCTTAGCCTCAGGGAGAGCCGAAGGCTCCTGCCATGCTAGGTCTGCTGGCACAGCACTCAGGAGCTGACTGCATTCTGGCTGGTGCATGTTAGTAAAAAAAGTGCAAGCCCTCTTCCGGAGGAAATGAGCAACATGTAAAGCAAAAAAAGAAGTAAAACCCCGAAGCAACCCCTTCCTTGTTCTTCAGAACCCTATAGGCCTGCATTTGCTTTTTCTGTTGTTTGTTCATCTGTGTGCATAAGGATGGTATTTGGGGTGAAATGGTCTGGCTTTGAAATAACATTTAATCAAAAAAGTTTAGTTGTGCATATATATTCTCTATGATTATATTTTTTTCTTGAAGTAGCGAATACTGGAAGCCTCAATTCACACAGCCTCAACTGCAGTTTTTTTATGTTTATATAACTTTACCCTGACTTAACTCCCTTTGGAGCTTTATTCAATATGCATTTCTTAAGCCAAAACATGGAACTTGTTGCTCACATAGAAGGGGTCYGTGTAGGAAGCCTTAGGTTGCAGTGAGGGTATCAAGGTTCAGAACSAGCTCTGCTATCCAGATCACAGCAGAACAAGAGGGATGAAAGCTGAGGGCACAGGATACAGTGGGGAGGGCAGTTCTACTTCCTCTCCATTTTTGTGTGGATTTTACTAAGGGCACAGGTTTGCTTAGTTGATAGCCTATCTTTATGTGAGGTGCTGCAAGTTTGCAGATGCTATTCTAGTTACCCGGAGCAATTCCATTGCTCTAGATGGGAATGGCTTCCTTCCTGCTGCAATTTCTCATCCGTACTGAGAAGGTGTCCATGAGTGATCTGTGGCTGCTCTAAGAGCGCACTGAGGTAGAGTCCTCCTTCCTAGGTTGAATTCCTCTTGCTATGAGGGGCACCCAACCCCAAGGGTATGACTAAATATTTTGTATCAGTTCTGCAAAGTGCTTAAATAGATGCTTAATCTCAAGGATATGATGCTCCAAAGAGGGTATTCATTTGCTTTGTGCTTTGGCCTTATGTGAACTCTTGGAGCTTTTGTGGAGCAGATCATGTGTGACTCTTAGTGAAGCATTGAGGACTCTGGAGTCCTGAGTTTAGACTCACTCTAAAACTTGAGCTCTAGTTTTGGCTAGAGATTTCTTTAACTAAAGCAGTGCAGACTCTCCACGAATCAATGCAGAGAAGCTCCTTCTAACATATATATTTACTTTCAAACCATTTTATTTAGCTTTACCAAACTAGCTATACTCAAAGTACCAATTAAAAAAAAGTTATTTGTTTTATTTGTTCTGAGCAATTTYCATGCATTCAAATTCTGCTTTCAGTCTCTTCTGTGCAGCTGTAAGCATGGGAGATGCACTTCACTGACCTGAAAGGTRGGATTCCTGTGTAATTGCATAAATAAAAGGAATAGCCTTAAAAATACAAAATTCCTGAAGAATTGGATCAAAAGTTGTGGTAGCCTTTCAAGGGTTTGATTAAACTGGCTTGATGTTAGAATCCTCTTTTCTCTGGAAGAAAAGAACACAGGAGTGCACTTAACAAAGATGGAGTGAATGCAGTTTAAATGAAGCTGCTTTTTATAGATGAATCTAGAAAAATCTTTTGTCTCTGTATG